CTCCACCATCCTGCCACGGTTGCTGGCCAGCTTCTTGATCGGGGACAGCAGCATCTCTGCTCACGGCTGCATGGCTCAGTTCTACTTCTTTGCTTCCTTTGCAACTGCTGAGTGTTACCTTCTGGCGGCCATGTCCTACGATCGGTACTTGGCCATATGCCAGCCTCTGCTCTATGCCAGCCTCATGACCTGGAAGGTCTCCTTACACCTGGCAGCTGCATCTTGGCTATGGGGTTCACTGCTGCTGGTGGTAGTCACAGTGTTCTTATCCCAGCTGCAGTTCTGTGGCCCCAAGGTGATTGACCACTTCTTCTGTGAATTTACTCCATTGCTGGAGCTTGCCTGCAGTGACATCAAGGTGTTCACGCTCATTGGGTTTGTCTTTGCCTTTCTGGACCTAATATTTCCATTCCTGTACACACTGTCCTCCTACGTGTGCATCATAGCTGCCATCCTTAGGATCCCATCCAGCACGGGCAGACAGAAGGCCTTCTCTACCTGCTCCTCTCACCTCACTGTTGTCACTGTTTACTATGGCACCCTCTTTGTTGTCTACATGCTGCCTAGAACAGGCCCGCTGAGGCAGCTCAACAAAGTGTTCTCCTTTTTCTACACCATCCTGACGCCCCTGGTCAATCCCCTCATCTACAGCCTGCGGAACAGGGAGGTCAAGGAGGCCATCAGGAAAGTGCTCAGGAAAGCCCTGGCCTGCACCCAGAGCTCATGCTCCCTGGGTGACACAGGCAAAAGATGCTTCTAGCTCCTTTGGAAGCTCTGGATACCAGCTGGCTCTTCCAAAGCGCACGCCACTGAGACCTCTTGTGAAGTGGCAAAGGGAAGAAAGCAAAAGGTCCTTGGAGAGAAAAATCATTGTTTAAAAAATAATGTTGAAAATGTCATGGGGTTGCTTTTTCCTTGACAATAAACACCTTGGTGATCTTATGTGGGGAACTGTTGAAGTATCAGGATTGAATAAGAAGCCCTTGCTTATCCTGCTGCAAGGGGAGGTGGAGAGGCTGGAGTGAGGGGAGCAGTTCCTCTTTCTGAGGGCTGAAACAAGATCATCGCCTGGATCTCCCCCCC